AAGTGTCCTTCATTCCTGGGGCTTCATGGATTTCTGTGGGTTCTCCACCGGGAAGCATCGCATTCTGCGGTTTGGTTTGCGCATGGGTTTTTTTCCTTCGGGCCCCCCGGCGAGCCGAGGCCACCTGGCGAACCCAGGCTCGGTTGCGGCTCGGCTCGGCTGCGTAACCAGATGGGCGGCTCGTCTTTCGAGTTGGTACCCCCGTTGCTTGGGTTTAGGGGTCCCAGGAAAACAAAAGGACAACACAGAAACAAGTGTTTGGGGTCCCCGATTTCGCGCCTCGCCCTCGGGCCTAGGCGCCTTTCTGTCCCGCTGGAAAGAGAGCCGCCCATTCGCAAACAGATTCTTTGGAGCGGTCCCTACCAGGAAGCTTGATACTCCGCTCTCTGACGCGGGGGGTTCCCTAAAAAAGACATAATCATGTGCTCCTTCTGTGCTATCCATGCAACGCATCAGGCAGCGGTGACGCGGGCTGTGATTTTATGTGTGGGCCTGTGTTCTTTTTGAGGGTAGCCTGTTGGATTTGGTTTAAAGAGAAACCAAACAAAGGACACCATTTCTTTACCAGGGCTGAGTCATGATGTTCAAACTGGCAAGCCGAGCTGCCAAAGCGCAAGCTGCAAGCCCATCAAAACAAAACAAGCACATCAAGATGCTTCGGGGAATGAACTCGAAATTCTGGACATCAAACCGTCCCAACAAATCAAACGAGTCACCAGAAGGTTTAAGTCTTGGAGCCTCAAACATTCAACTCCCCCCCCCCAATGTCCCTTTGAAAAACTGGCGCTGGAAAGTGAAGCTTGAACTAGGCGAACCCATCGATTTTCGAGCAAACTGCCGAACTCACTTGAAAAGGATACTTACGCACCCAAATCCGCACAAGCTCCGCTGCAAAAAAAAAATGAATATATATATATATATATGTATATATATATAATTACTAAACACGATCATAATAGTGCTATAATAGGAAAACCAACCGCCCGCAACGGCTGCCTCACACTTCGACACGGTCTCTAGGAGGCTCGGCAACCATGCCTCAGATCAAGCGATTGGCCAACCAAGCGTTGGCTCAGCCGTAGGGCTGGCTTGTGCTTTGCAAGGAGTTGGTACCAACCCTTTTTGGTGGTTTTGGAGGAGAACTCAAAAGGACGTTGCGCCATGTTTGGGGGGTCAAACCTTAAAAAAGACACAGCCCACTGTGGTTTGAGCATGTAACAAGGGCGCTGCTCAGCAGCCCGATCGGCTTGGAGGTCCCTAACTGAAATCTGCAACCGACCGAACATGCGAAGACACATGGCTGAAACTGGAAAGGCTCAAATCTCCTGGAGGCCTAGAGGGCTACACCGCTGAAAGGGCTACACCCCTGGAAACCATCTTATATGGCCCCAAGACTTGCAGCTACCTTGGCAAGCCTCTGAAGAGCGAGCCCACACCTGTCTGGAAGCCTTACTTGTGAAAACTCTCTTGAGCATGAGAGTATCTCGGCAACCACCGAGTCAAACGCGAGTTCTCGCCAAATGGGGATTGAAGCCCCCATAGATTTCCGTTAAGGCGCGCCAACTCCCAAAACAAATCAAATGGCAGCGTGGGATATGTCAAACCTATTTATGACTGCTAAGAAGTATTCAGCCTCTGATGTTACCCAAACATGTTTGGTAACACGATTGATCGTCTTGCCGAAAGGGCAGTCGATTGTTTCCCTCGCTTTTTGGAGTTCTTTCGGGTTGGCTCGAAGGCAAACCAAACGGAAGCTACCTAATTTCTGTGGAAAACCCACCATTTTGGTACCCTGCTCAGGTTGGTTTACAAAAAAAAGGACCCCACTCATTTGTTTCCCGCGAAACCCGGCCATGCTCAAAGAGACCTGCAAAGAAAAAACAAAAAACAACAACCCAACTTCCGTGCGAAGCCCCAGGGTCAATTTCCAAGCCATTTGCCCCCTCACGGTTCCCCACGCCGCCTTTTCCCGGTGCTCGGGGCCCCGGGCCCGGCAGCTGAGGTCCACCCAGCCCTCTTCGGCATTGGTCACCACCACCACCTGCCGCGGGGGCCGCGGGGCGGTAGACGAGCGGCGCCTCGCCCCGGAGAAAGACGGGCTGGGTCGCAGGGTGTCCGGACGCGGTTGTTTTGAAGGGTTTCGAAGCGGAGGCCAAAGTGAGGAAGCCGTTGTTGGGAACATATTGTTGAGAAACACTTTCCCATCGTTTCTCATTTTTAGGGGGGGCTTTTGGTCAACCTCGAGTGGCTTGGGCTCTGGTTACACATCCATGCACCAAGCAAAGGCCGTGCATCAGAACTGGATAAACCTGCGAATCCCAGCCAAGGCTAAAACTGCACGTGCCACACATACCCATGTGGTTGGGGCTCGCCTTTTTGTTGATGGTACCCTTTTTGGGGTGATTTGCAAGGGACACAACAGGACACAGAAGGGTACGCCATGGGGGCTGTGTTTCCGCACCACGGCAAGAAACGACAAAAGCTCGAGAAACCCAAAACAGCGGCAAAAAAGCTCGAGAAAACCAAAACAAACACAAAAAAGCGAAAAGCAACCCAAGAACCGCCCCCCCCCCCAAAAAAAAAAAAAGACTCGAGGAAACCATCAAAAAAGTATAAAGGAACAAGTTCAGGATCCCAGTCACCAAACCCGATGGTCTTTTCCCGCGCCCTTGCCGAACCTTGTCGGCCAGCGTCGCGGCCATCTCCTGAGTCGACTCGCCAAAAAGGTAAAGCGTGGCCACAGGTTGGATTTATGTCCACGAAGCAAGCATCTGAGGTTTGGTGTACGGGGAAGGAAGCTGGGAGGTGCAACCAAAAAGGGGCAGTGTTGTAACCCCATATGAAAATCAACCCCAGCTGTTTTAATAGGGGGGTGTTCGTTTCTGGGCTTGGTGGTTGGATTCAGACCACTTCTGGAGGGTAACGCCCCCAATGAATAAGCTGGGGTGCAGTAATATGGGGTTCACATTGCCCAAATTATTCGGGGGTACACCTCCTGGGGAGTGGAATCAAAGAAGCAAAATAAATAAAAAAAAATATGAGTTGCGAATTGTTTGAGGCGACCTTTTGGGGGGGGGGGGGGATGGTATATAAGGAAAGCGCATGGTTACAAGTGCAACTGAGTTGCCAGACTCCGAGCATCCCCGAAAACAGACCTCTCAAAGTTCGGGCGTGCAGAAGAACTCCCCCAAATCGCTGACATCGTGCCGCTTTCGCAGGGCTGCTCACAGGGCTTATTGTCTCAACAAGAGCGAGCATTCACAGGCCAGCTCAAGCCACTGGTCCCTCTTTCGCGCTTACCCCTCGGCTTTTGTCCGGCCAAAGATCAAGGCACAGATCTCGTTTTTCCCCCGCCTTAGCAACTACAATGCGGCTGCGTACCAAAATTAGTCAGCCGTAGACTCTTATGTTTAAACAATACTTGCCGGTGCTCAGCAGGGCATAAGAAATGGAATGAACTCAGGGGTCCCCGGAAAGGAAACCACTAGCAAGGGGTGGTGTTTTTTCGGGGTCATTCCAACTCTCATTCCCCGCATCTCTCGCAGCGATCGCAAGAGGGAACAAATGGGGGATGGTCCAAAGAGATGCCTTTTCCGGGCGATTCATGCTCCCAGAAGGAAGGGCCCAAATAACCCAGAGACCCAGAGACTCTTAAACCATATCTTCGGGAAGCAGTTGTTTCCTGGTTTTTTGGAGGTCCCTTTTCATAAGGTTTTGGTGGTATCCCCAAACAGCCCGGCAGATTTCTGCTTGCTTCCAACCATTCTTTTCAACCATCCTTCTTTTTGAACACCTGCTGTTTTCCCTTGGACTCTGCCGGTGTAACTGGAAAGAAGGATCCCTGGAAAGAGTGGGGAGGTTTGGAGCCTGGAAGGGGGAAGCGACCTCGAAATTTCCAGGAGTTCGACGGGTGAAAGGAACTTATGATATATACCCAGCCAAACCACCATGGACCCAAGGAGATTCATCATGTAAATTGGGCCCCCCAGAAGATTGTTGCTCAACATAGGAGCCTTTTTGGAGAAGGGATCCCTGGAATCCTGAAATGATCCCGACCATTTGAAGGATTTCTGGATTCCTGAAAGGATCACAACCACCTGAAGGATGCCTGGATTCCTGAAAGGATCCCCAAAGCCCGCAGATCGAAGCAACTCCCCGACCTCCGACCTTCCCCCCAACTCGGCCACCCGGCGATCAGCTGCTTCGCCTCCTGTGCCAGCTCCTGTCGGCGTGGGGAGCCGCGGGGTTCCGATGCGCGCCGCTCCGCTGGGCCGCTGGCCAACCTCTTTGGCGTTTGGCAAATTAAAAGGAGCAAATATGAACTTTATTTTTTTGTTACGCTCCTTGATTGGAAAAGAATGGGGGGGGGAACCAAAGGAGCAAAAAACGGCAAATGTGAGTTGTCCTGCTTTGTTGCGTTCCTTTATTTGAAAAAAAAATTGGGGGGTGGGACTTTTTGGGGACAGTCCACAGGAAACATGTGTGCATTTGTTGGAGGTGCCCTTGTTGGGTTGATTTCAAAAGGGACTTTCTTTGCAGAGGGCAGCACCGTCAAGTGTGTCGCGGCTCGAGCAGTCGTAGGCAGGTCTGAGAATCATAGAGCCAGCGGCTGCAATGTGTTTCCATCTTTTAGTGCCCACCTACTCTGAGATGTGTCGCGAAAGTGGGAAGTCTTTTCTTTTTGGGGGACCACACAACCTTCTGGGTTTAGACACGACCGCCTCATCCCCATATGGTTGTGATGTTCTAAAGTTGAATGATCGGTGGACACAAATCCCCACGATGTTCATCTGCCATGTGTCCTTCTTTGAAGGTGCCACATTAGGTGTTTCTCAAAACAGCCGTCACCAAAAACACATGGCTTCACATTTCCAACCAAACCTGGGTTTCCGAAACCCATTTGGCTGTGGCTCAACAACCTGTACCCAAAGGGCCCCCGTAAATGGAACCAAAGGCTAAAGCCTTCTTTTTCCTTGGCTCTTGAATTTGAGCCACACCCATTTTTTGCCCGTAACCCCCACACCCAAAAGAAAAAAAGCCCGTAGCCCCCCCCCCATGTCCCACACGCCATCGGATCGGATCGGATCGGATCCCATCGACGCCTCCAGCCGCGCCGCGAGCTCGCCGCTGGGCCGGGGGCCCAGCACGGACAAGCCGTGCTGCCGCATGCAGGTGGTGGACGGGCAGATCTGGCGGATCCATCGGACCCCCCGCACCAACGAGCAGACGCTGACCCTTCGGTGAGCCTAACAGATGGTTATGTAGGCTTTTTGGGGTTGTAAAGGTTTTAAACGGTTTACAATGGTCTTGGGACTTTGCTTTTGACTTTTGATTGTTGAAGGGAAAACAACTGCTGGGCGCTGCTCATGTAGCCATCAGCCCCACACCACTTCACACTTTTCTTGGGGCTATGATTATACACCTCAACCATCCTTCCCATTGGGAAGAACCTATGGATTTGCCTGGTTCGTGACTAGAACCAAGCTGAAACCAGCGGAAGCCATCCCATTTTATATGAACTAGCCCCTAATCCCATGGGAAACCCAAGGTGTGTAAACTAGATGGGTCAATGGTTGGCCGAGCCTCTTCGACCTGTGGATTCGAACTCCTGGCCCATGACGCCGCCGGGAAATAAGCCGAACAAGGCTGAATTCCAAAATGGGACCATGGTAAATGGGAACATGGACCAAAGCCAGCGGTGTGCCCCTCCTGTTTAATTTTGAGCCACACCCATATTCAAGGCCAGTCTGCGCCGCTTCTTTTTCCCAGCGAATCTGGTGTAGTCTCCCAAGCACTCTCGAGAAGCGCTGTCATCGATGGTGAGATCCAGAAACGCCTCCGAGCCAAGGGGGGAATCCGGCAAGGCCATGATCCAGTGCCCATGTCAGCCATCAAGCCCGCAATCTGACTAGGTCCTCCAGTAGGGAGTTGGAATAAGGGTACCCTTCTTTTCTGTAGTCTATTTTAGAGGGGAACCCTCCACCAGAAAAGGGTAAAAGGGCACTACTGGGGGACCTAGCTGATTGAAAAGAAAACATGCTCATGGATGCTTCAGTTGCAAGCTAGCCCACTTTGGCCCTGACATTGCTGTAACATGTTGAACGACCCTTGATCAGCAATCAGGCAGACATGGCACGGACAAACGCGATGGGAGGGCTCTCCAAAGAAAACCAAACCGCAAGCTCCACCACGGGGGCCCTCATTGAATGAGCATCCTTGAGGTTCCCTGCCTGACGATGGTGCTCAACATGACGAACTCAGCGGAGATGCCCATTGTCTATTTGAGCCCAAGGCCAAACCCCCTTGCCAACTGATTCTACCAACATGGATTTAAAGGTTTGTGTAGGACTTGCCATAAGCCCCATGAAACCAGGTAGGTACCGAACACCTAGAAAGCTGCTGCTCGAGTGAGAAACAAGGTCAAGAAAAGGAAACCGAAACTTGGGATGTCCTCCGCTGCATCCCAGAAACCACTCGCAAGCCCCTCCCCGGCGTTCAGACCAGGCACAACCACAGGTGTCCTTTTTGGGACAATAGATGGCCCTGGTAGTTGATTGAACCCAGGGCACCAATTAACCAAAAAGGACACCTCTGGGCACAACACGCATGCTCCCGCCTGGCGCACCCCTTGCCACGTGAGGCAGTGCACGGGGTGCCGGGAGAAGAGCCGCCCCCTCGGAAGCTTCGAAGCGTGAGCGGGTGATTCTGTGCAAGCATGCGGATAGAGAGTGAGAGAGACAGCCAGAGCAAACATTTAAAAAACAAAAAAGCCACCAAAGACAATGGAAGGAGGCCATCGAAAATCTGGAGCACTGCCAAAAGGCCATGGCCTCCTAGCCCGCGAACCGCACCCAACGGGTCACAATCAGTCAATCAGTGGGCACCAAAAAAACATGTTTACCAAAAAAAACACAAAAAGCATTTTTTATCCCAAAAAAAAACCATCTGCCCGAGAAAAAAAAACAAAAACAAAAAAAAAAAAAAACGGCAGAGCGTCGCGCCAATCTTTCCCTGCCCGGCTTCACTGGTGGACAGCTGGCCCAAAGGCCATGGACGTTTTTGGCTCTACCGACGTTTGGTTCTGCCTTGTGCTCTTCCCCGCAGAAAAGCCCTCACAGTTTAAAAGAAAAAAAAACTGCCATGTCAGACCTGCGATTTTAAAAAAAAAAAAGAAGGGCCCAAAGGCTTCGGGCGGTGTTCTCCCTCCTGTTTTTGGAGGGGGAGAAGGGGGCGTAGGTGTCCCTTTAGGGGCAATCGATGGCCCTGGATGATCAAACCACCAGGTAAGCCAGGGAAACCCATCTATTTTCTACCAACACCAACCAAAAAGGACACCTATGGAGAGGGGGCGTTCTGGTTTTTGGCGCTCAGCTTCTGATTGCTGACCTCAAAGATCTGCCAAGGGACACCAGCCAGAACCAAGCGTCTTCCATCAGCGCCGCCAGAAGCACCAGCGAGCCAGGCACCCAGAGGGGCCAAAAGCGCCGGCCTGCGCCGGGAAGTGGGGGGTTCTTTGGGGAGGAAGGGGCTGGGAACCCCATCCCCACCTTTCATGAGAAAGAGGGGGTGGGAAATGAAACCAGAAATGAATTCCAGGGGCCAGCCCCCTCCCCCAATGCCATTTTTAGGAGCTGAAGCCCCCCGGTTCCGCCCTCAGCGACCATGGAATTTGCCCCTCTTTAAGGATGGCTCAAGATCTGGAGCAGCATTTGGAGGAGCGTTGAAGCAAACGAATCAGACAGCCATGAACAGTTTGAGGCAATGCACAGGTCCGCTTTCGCTGCAGGAAGGGCGCCTGACTAATGAAAAACGTCCGCGGCTGGAAAGCGGGGACCTGAGATGTGAAGATGCGTGCCTAGCACCTGCTCGTGGTAGAACCTGAAGAAGTTCGCGTCCACGTCCTGCGGCACTCTGGGCTCTACGGCTCTGTCAAGGAGGGTCCGGCCCCGTGGGTTGCCAGGGCTTCCCGTTTCTCAGGCTTGGGCCAACTCCTTTTTTCTCACATATGTTCCACTGCTTCCCTCTTGGTTTCCAGGGCTTTGTTTCATCTTTTGCCCCACGCCCGTGCTGCCTTTTCCATTTGTCCCCCCCAAAAGAACGCGTCTCGCAACCCACGGCGCCGCGGGCGGCCCCGAGGCGTCGCTCGCGCCTTGACCGCGAAGCACCGCCCGGCCAGGGCCGGGCCGTTCTGCGCCGCGCGCAAAGCCGCCTGAGCCACGGGGCCGCTGAAGAGCGCCCGACTCGGAGGCTTCGGGCGGCGGGTTTTTCGCGGGAATGGGGTAGGGGGAGGGCACTTTTAAGGACTTGGCAGCTGGAGAAGCCTTTTTGTTTTGGACACGGAATCTCCAAAGTGGAGCATGGTAGGGGGATGGCCCCCTTTTATTTTGGACTCGGAATCTGCCTTTGGATCGTTTTGGAAAGGAAAACTGCAAGTGGAAACTGCAAGCCTTGGGCGAACTTGGTGCTGAAGCTGAATGTGGGTCCGGCGCGGAACTGGCAAAGGGAATCTGTCAAACGTTTGGATGGCTGCTGTACGCATTTGAACTTGAAGCCTCTCCCGCAAGAACAGTCACGTCCGTCCGGCGGTCCGGTCAGTCGGGCTTTCAAAGCAGCAAGAAAAGCACACATTGGCACATGATGTCAGGCCTTTTACGCAGGGAGCAATGTAAAAAATAATGGATCACAACTCTTTGAATTCTGAAAAAGCCCAGAAACCGGTTCAAGAGCGAGCTCTGCAAAACCCTGGCTCACGCCTCTTTGGAACCCCCTTGTTGGATCACGCGACAGGGGCTTCAAGCCATCCAATTCCGCCTCCACCACGGTAGACACCGAGACCATGGACATGCGCGCAGAGGCGGGCCCAAGCTGAATCGGCGGGAAGCGCCGCAGAAAGCCTCGCAAGGATGCAAGCACTCGCTCCTCTTTGTATCTCTTCCAATCTTTCTACCTTGCTTTCCTTCACTCTCTCTCTCTCTCTCTCTCTCTCTTGTTCTTGCTCTTTCTTTCTCTTTCTCTCTCTCTCTTTATCTCTCTCTCTCTCTCTTTCTTTATCTCTCTCTCTCTATATCTCTATATCTCTATCTCTTGCTCTTAAACCTCACCCCTTTGTACCCCAGCCTCCCAGTCCCGCACACATTCCGCGAACCTTGCCCCCCGCCTGCCAGCGCGTCCTCCGCCACCTCCGCCGCCCGCAGCGGGCCGAAGATGTGCGCCGGCCGCAGGACCACCGTGGCCAGGCGCCCTCGCGCTGCAAGGCGCTTCGGGGCCCCAAGGCCCGAAGAAAGGGGCGGGGGGGGGGGGGCGGTGACAGGGGGGGGGGGGGCATGTTTGATGGCTTCAAGCCATCTTCCTTCTGTAAAACCACAAGAGCAGTTTTACACACACCCGGCAAGGAGAATAGAAATAGTTTGAGTATCCCAAAATGGGCGGAACAAGCCAAGTCTGAGGAACCCGACGATTGGTTGTGAACCACCAAGTCAACTTCCAGGTTCCCCTCCAAACGTATCGGAAGCCAGCTCGGTGCTCGGCTCGACGGATTCCCGCCTGCGTGTCTATGCACCTTGAGCTCCCCCGCCGACTTGGTGCGCACGTACGCGATGCACGAGCCCAACTGCAGGTCCTCGCCGCCGAGAAGGTCACAGGCCAAAAGCGCGCAACCCGTGGTTTCCCCGTGGATTGGAGCTCGCTCAGGGCTGTGGGAAATGGAATCCACTTCTGTGATACAACAAAAAGGGCCTCCCAAAGACTAACCCCCAATATAGAAAGGGAGAGATTCCCTTGTATCACAGAAGTAGGGAAAAACCCCTTGATCCCACAACCCTGAGCTCGCTTGTCTGTTTCTCCAGTACCCCGGCCTGCACTGGCCGCGGAGGCTCGTTCACATGCGGCCGCCCTGCCCAGGCCACGTCCAAAGTGCTGAAGTGGATGAAGACCTCGGCACTCCCTTTTGCGGACCTTGGCAGTGGAGACCCCGGCTTAGATTATCTGGCAAGTCATCCACCTGTACCGAGTCATTCCATTTATCTGTAGAGGTGACCAAAGAAGCCATCTTCAACACTGCAGGGAAACATCTGCTTACCTACTGTGCATGTACAGGTAGCTGGTTGCCCCAACATTGCCATGTGAAGAAAGGCGTCCCTGCTGAAATAGATATCGGCTCACTTCCTGAGCGTAATGAACCGCACGCTTG